GAGCCAAAGTCTGTTCTTGGTTGAACTGGAGTAAATATGGAATAGCTTGTTGACAATGCGGAGTTACTCCTCTTTTATGTCAGTGTAACCGAGAGCACAATTTTGCCAATTATTAACTTTTGTTACATTATTTGTATTTCTGTGCGTGTCAGGATTTGTTAATCTCATTGTTCAACATCAAGTAACCTTTTGCTGAAAACAGAGCGTCATTGTGCATTAGGTATCATCAGCTAAATTGAACCTCACCCTGCGCATTTGACAGATGGTAATACATTCATTAAATGTTCTGTGGTTGCTTTGAGGTTGGAAAGTGCTATTTTTCTGGCTTCTAACTCAGGATTCTTAAGTAAAGTTGTATAAAAGCATAGTTTTGAAGGGAGAAGGAAAATCACAAAGAGCTCGTGAGGTTTTTTTATTAATATCGTTGTTTACTATTGGGGGGAGGACATGGCAGGACTGCGATTGCTGTAAGTTGTCTTTGGCTGCCTAAGTAGCCCAGAGAAGAGTAGTGAAGGGTGAGAGAGATGGTTCCACCATAGATTTTGTATATACGCAGGTAGAACTTTTTGGAATTTGAAGTTACATTAAATACATCACTGTGGAGGCAATATGATGCTGGCGCCTTTGTGCTTGGTGATTTCACTGTCCAGAAAGTTGGTTTCTATGAGTTCAGCCATTGCAGCTGTTGCAGGGGTAACTGATGACAGGGCTCCTCTTGCAGAGCTGGTCACATTTGGGATCTCTAAGTTCATACTGAAAGTCTGCAGGGTGGGGAAGCAATTGGAGGTAGAAATTTCAAAAGCAGCACAGAGCCACATTCTCAGGCATAGTTCCACTTGGTGTTGTAATATTGAATCCTCCACCCTGACATTACCAAGACAATGCAAGGCTGAGATTAGACACTTCAGGACAAGTTCTCCACAAAGCTAATTTAGGGGTCACCTAAACCAAGTGTAGAAGAGAAGACTCCACTGACTACAGAGGAAGCTCAGGGTGTTTAATTCAAACCTACTCATTTAATTTGCTCACTTCAGGGAAGATTAATCCCACCCATTGACTTGCAATGGAGCCTCAGCTGTTATCAGCAAACCTATTTAGTTATTTAATGATGTTTCCAAGAGGATAAGTCGCCAAGGGAATTAGCTGCTTAGCCACTTCTGAAATTCATTGTGGGTAGTATGTTCACAAATGGGGAATTAGTCACTTTTTAGTTAGTCACATCTTTTTAAATGTCTTCATTCAGTCTAGTGCTGTGACTGGTATTCACAAGACCCCTGCCTTGGTGAGTGCCTGCTGTCCCCTGTGTTCTCAGTGGAGACAATGTATAGAGTCATCCAGATTTTCACAAAATAGCCATAGTATGGGAGGTTTAGAATTAAATCTTTCTTCTGCTGGATTTGCTCAGTAATATGAACCCAGACAGCCCTTTCCTCAGCAGGAGTTCCAAAACCTTCAGAGCTGTAGGATATTCTGAGGAGGTTATTTCTTGGTCTCTGTTCATGTTTTTTCACCTTTCACATAATGCTTAAATATCAACCAGATAAGAGAGAAAATGAGAGAGTTAGTTTTTCTGACTTTTACCCGTGGTGTCAGCCTTCCGTCATGATCCACTGAATGTTGAGTTATTTATGGAAAGTGAAACACTTCAACAGGAGAGCCGCACAAATTACCTGATAACTCCACTGGTGGAGTCTCATCTGGCAGACCTGGGCTGACATCATGTTGAAAAGGCATTTGAAGCTCAGTCTTCCACTTTCCAGGAAAATGCTTTCCCTATACCACTGGTAAAATCACAACACTTCCCCCAATATTTTTTGTAAGAAAGAAAAAACTGACCTGCTTTTGATACCTCTCTCTTCTGGGAGGTCACTGGTGAATTCCAACATATGGTGGGTTCTCCCACCCATACCAGAATTAGACACTTGGCTCTTTCTGAGATTTGGGGCTTAGATGCCTCTTGCTTCAATATTTTTGAGACTCTTCTACGCATCCTCCTACTTTGAGTGGGGACTTCCCTGAGCACCTTCTCAAGGAACCTAAGGCTTCAGATCATATAGATACATCTGAATGTGTCAGGGCACCTAGAAATTAGGATTTTCAATGTGGATATTTGCATATGGATTTAAAAAAATTACTTGAAAAACATTGACAGGCTTTAAAAATCTGACACTGTGCACCTAAACTCCATCTGAAATGGCAATTTTAGGATCTTAATTCTCTTAACTTTTCAAAATTCTGTCACTGTTCAGTTGGAAGAAAGGCAGTTCTCCCTTGTTCACTACTCTTCTATTTTCATGGCTGTTCTGAGAGATTTACTAGGATCAGAAGAGTTTTGATTAATTAAATGGGGTCATTGGAGTCACAAGTAGTCGTCCAGTTCTTGACTATCAGGATATGAGATAGTCCTGACCTTCTGGTGATTTCACTGGCAGATCTCAGGATCCTGTGGGTTCCAGCAGAGCCTGTGAATTAGGTCACAGATGCGTTGAACCCTGAACATACGCTTATTTCTGGCCTAAAGCTGTCATATGCAAGTGCCAAGTATGAATTCAGATAGATGTTTTTCCCACTGTCACAAGTAGGCTTCAATCCAGGCATTGTTTTTGAGACAGCCATGACGCACTTTGATATATCAATAAGAGCAAAAAAAACCCCAACCCTAATAAGTTCCAGAAAAATTACATAAACACATCCCACCTGATGCTCCTGTCTTCATACTCACACCTAACTGTCCCCGTGGGCTAGCACGAAGCATCTAATGTAGTACTGATACTGGAAATATTGCACTCAGAGAACCGACGATCCTACTGGGTGAAGGGGATGCTGGAAAATGCTCAGCGTTAAGCCAGTTCTCTGAAATCCGAACGTGCAAAATTGAATTAGATCACAGTAATTCGATTCCATTGTCTCTAAATGAATTCATTGTAAGAGGACATAGTCTGAGGCTGACCAAGGGAAGGAGAACTGTCTGTTCAACAGGTGTTATGGGTCAAACCAAAAAGAGATTGCTAAATCTGTTGAGTGTTGCCACACGGGGTTATATTACACGCTATGCAGTTATTACCCTTCAGTAGAAGTTGTGCGGCAGAGCACAGCTGCAGATGATTAAAGACACCACTGCCAGCATCTGACAGCAGAATGTCACTGTCAAAATTCAATTTGAATTGATTAAATAGGGGATGGCAACACTTTTGTTTTATGGATGGCAGCACTTCAGTCGCTTTAGATGCTCTGCTTTCAGAAATGAAGTTCTTTCCCTCCCTGCTATGTTTGTTGGGGTGTTTTCAGTTGGATCGCAGTCATTTCTCCAGTCAATCAATTAAGCCAGGATTTGCCACTGTGTCTAGGAGTCAGCCACAAAAGAGCTGGTGTGGTTCCCTGGTGCTTGGCCAAGAGGCTTCAGTGGGAGCAAGACATCAGGCAGCTTAATCTGACTTCCACCACTGGCACAAGGTTTAATGGATGTTAGGGCAGCAGAGAAATCATGTTCTGTGGTGTTCAGCTCCTGCTCTCTCAATGGCCCTGTTCGCGCCGCCTTTCTCTCCGTGCCAAAAACACAGGGGCGGCTGACAGCAGAGCCAGCGGAGCTACCTGTGCCAGCAAGCTGCTCTATGCAGGGCGATGGCTGCAGCCTTTTGAAGCTTGCATTGTGCTCCATAAATATATTTATCTCCGTAGGCCTTGTAGTGCTACACCGCCTGAGTTTCTTGACACATTGAGTAGTCTCCCGTAAGTTAAATGGCAGTAAGTTACTCAGAGATATAAGATTTCACAGGATTAGGCCTTAAATGCTGACTCCAGGCCAGATCTGCAGCAAGTATAAATCACTACAGGTAATTTTCACCAGCTGAAATCCTGGCCCTAAGCCCATGAGTCATGTTGTTATTTTTTCACATTGTAAATTCTTGCTGTTTCTTATTTATATTGCTTTAGCACTTTGGGGCACTTGTCAGGGGCCAGGACCCCGTCATGCTTGTCACCCTTCGAACAGAGATGCAAAAGACCCTTCTTGCCCCAGAGCGTTCGCAGTTTAAATAACATGCAAAACTGCGTACAGTCATTCAGCTTTCTGTGAGTGCATTATTGCAATCAAGTTTTTCTATTATCCTGCCGGTAAAGCGTAAGAACACAAATTCTGTGCTTGGGTTGATATTTTTAAGCAAAAAATTTGCACTCTGCTGCACATTACGTCTAATTGGCATTTTAAGCCTCGAATGTTTTGGAGCCAGCAGTAGCGTGGGACATGGTCTTTCGTAATTGCAGTGAGAGGTCCAAAGTCTCCTCTCTGTTGTGACACCCCATTTGAGACATATGAAAAATAGAATTTGCACCTAAGTTGGACCTGAAGTGAGGGGAATCTTAACAGTGGCTGAATATCTCATCTCTTTTGTGTAGCGTTGTATTTAATTATTGTTATATTACTTTCATTTCAGTTGTAGTGTGTCTTCCAGCTCCGTAGAGCTCTGGTTAGCATCTCTGGAATTATTGCTATTGCCTTTAATTACTCTGGAAGGGGGTTAAAAGTCATAAAACTACAACTTTTCAGAGCTGAAGTAATGCTAGAAAATTGCCCTTCATTGCAGTCCTACCTGGCTGCTTAGAAAAATAATACAGTGGCGTACAGATCTCCAATTTACCGTGTGATGGCCTCAGCAGACCAGAAGAATATCATAGGGTGTATGTGTTTTATTGGTATATCATACTGACAAGCTGTTCTTTCCTTCCACGATCTCTTTCACTGTTTTTTTTGGTGCTAGTCAGGAGAAGACATGGCACGACAGTTTCCTGTGTCCCGTTTTTCCATTACAGGATGAGCTTTACCTCAGGCAGACCTTGCTGGGCTACTTTGTCATCAGATTGTGTAGGCATTGGAGCACAAATTAGCAACAAAGAAATGGTTCTTGGCTTTTTTTCTAGATACTCCCATAGCCATTGACAATGAGCGTTTCTAAATAATTCTTACTCTGCCCTAATCACTTATTCTTTGCTTTTTGGCAAAGCCCTTGAAAGAGGCTTGGTGAAGGCTCTGAAGAAGCTGGATGACTATCTGAGAACCCCTCTGCCAGAGGAGATTGATGCAGACAGCACTGAAGAGGAGAAAGTGTCTAAACGCAAGTTTCTGGATGGAGATGACCTGACTCTTGCTGACTGCAACCTTCTGCCCAAGCTCCATGTTGTCAAGGTAAAAGACGTCATGCGATGGTCAAAGAAACCTTATCTGACAGTGAAGTGCCCTGCTCCGACAGACGAGTGCTAAAGCCAACGTGTATTTCAGCACAGATATCAGAGCAGAGTTTGAAACGCACTTTTGCTCCTCAGTGTTTCCTATAGGTTGACTTAAGTAACTTTGTATTTAGTACATGGGGAAATTGTCCCATCACTAGTTAGTGGCAAAGACAATATTAAGATCTAAGTATCCCACCTCTTTATTTTTACCCTGCTGCAAGTAACAGCAGTGTTTCATATTAATTAGTTCCCATTATTCTTAAGAGAGATGTCAAAACTTTAGTCAGTTCCCACTCATTTGTAACTTAAGAGCCGCAGTCCATCTTTTTGGGGAATATTTGTTCCAGCTGGTATTTCACACAGAGAAGTTAACAAATCAAAGTCACTGCTGAGGTCTAGGATTTAAGATGTACAATGGTTGCTGGTATAGTGCAAATGGTGTATATCATCTTGACTTCTAAATGTTGCATTTATTTAATTTATCAGATTACATGTTTCTTTAGAATAAAGCAAGTACCTGGCAGACCTTGGCAAGCAAGAAAGCTAGGAATTAAAGCCAAGTCATGCATCTAATTTGGCTCCATAAGCCAAAACATAAACTGAGCCTGGGAGCTGACTGCACACATGCAAAAAGAAACAAAAAAAAGTAAAAAAAAAGGTGCATAAGTCACCAGGTAAGAAATGTGATAATATCCTCACAGGTTTAGCTCTTTCTTTGGCTCATCTTCATTGGTGATGTTGGAGTCAGACAATGCAAAATGAATGTGTGGCCGCTTACTGGTTCCTGTCTCCTTGGGATGAAATGAAAGATGTCAAAAGAGAATTAAAATCTTTCTCAGACAAGCATAGCCATAGGATATTGCCTGAAAAGCATTTTACAGATGGAAGAAAAGGGTAAATTATTTTTTCATTTGATGGAAGACGTGTGCTGGAAATTGTGAAAATCTTGACTTAAGTTGTCCAGCAGGTTTTATCTTCCCCATGTGTGTGTGAAGCATCATTGTAGGTAAGAATGCTTAATTAAATGCAGTTTAGGACAGGATTTGGACTTACATATACCAAGTGGATCCTGGTAATAAAAACAAATCACAGTCTATTCTGAGAATATGACTGTCCTAAGAAATCTGAGATGGAAAACAGCTATACCATGTGCTTTAAAAATAAAGGGGAACTCTGTGGCACATATGTATGTAATTTATGCCCAGGAACAATTTTATACTGTCAGAAAAATTAGAGATTGGAAGCACTCATTAAATCAGCTAATCCGTCCCTTCCTATCAGCTAGTTCATTCTGTCACCACAGGATTATTCTATATGGTATGTTCTTACAGGAAAACTGAAATATCCCAATCCAGCAAGCTACTTACTTAACCAACCAACTGGCTTTAAGCACAGATTAGTCCCATTGACTTCAATGGGACTATACAGGTGCTTAAAATTAAGTATGCACTTAACTATTTTCCTGAATAAGGGCCTGAGTGTTTTTAGAAATCGAAAATTTCCCTTGATAGACAATTTCCTAGTCTAACAAGTCTTGAAATAACCATTTTCTCCCCCAGTTTATCCTAATACTCCTGTTTCTAATGCCTGCTAAATCATCTTGGTTTCTCGATCATGGTACCCATACCACCCTGAATTTTTCCTTTGCATGAACACGGATACAGCCTTCCAACAGCTGTAGATGGTTACATCCTCTGACATCATTGGCCAGGCAAAATATATTACATAGATTATAAATTAAAATGTAGTATATATAAAATATATGTTAAATATAAATATAATAATTAAATGTTTTAAACAAAAATATAAGAATTATTATTAAATATGTTATTTATTAATTGTTACTAATGACTTACCTTTCAATCTATCTTCCTTTTTGTGATTCAGCTAATCAGCTCTTTCTTATTTGGCATCTCAGCTTTAAGAAGTGATGTACATAAGACTGGTAAAAACCACCAAACACCAATATGGTAAAATTAATGAACTTCAGGTATCATAAAAGTCATATTTTGGTGATAGTTGCCAAGCCATTGCTTTAGAGTGTCCTTAGGCCAAGTAGCCTCCTTGCAAGACAGGGGTCACCCAATGGTCACTTTTCAGGCTTTTATATTATAAGGCCCTGATTCTCCAAGTGTTTCTCTCCTTTGCTATTAATTATGTGACAAGAAAGAGTAAGAAGCTCTCTAAAAAGGAATCTGGAGATATATCACCAGCAGAATGCTTTTTTCCCCTCTTTTGTCTTTGATTTAGATTGTTGCAAAGAAATACCGCAACTTTGAGTTCCCGACAGAGATGACGGGGCTGTGGCGGTACCTGAAGAACGCGTATGCCAGGGATGAATTCACCAACACCTGTGCGGCAGACAAAGAAATTGAGCAAGCCTACGCAGACGTGGCCAAGCGGCTCAGCAAGTCCTAACTGACCCCAGAGGTGGCTCAGTATCCCCTTTCACAGACTCTTCTCCTGGTTGCCTTAAGATATAATTTATCATTGTGCTATCTGGTTGGCATCCCTATGACTGCACCTGTTCAAGTGTATTGGTCAGGGACAAATCTGCTTCTCCCTGGAGAAAAGAGAAGGCAGCTCTGGTGTGGAGGGTGGAGACCGTTTGAAATCTGAACCTAAGATCTAGCTGAAGTAGTATTATTCGCAATCAGTATTGGAAATGAGTTCACTTTACTAGTTTCTTGTATCATGTTGGGGGTATATCACCACCTGTATTCTCTGGAGTTTTAAAAATAGGATATTAGCTGAAATGTCAAGTAAGAGAGTTAGGTTCTTCTGTAGGTTTTTTCAAGGATGCTTTTCCCCCCAGTGATATTGAGATCCTTGAGGCAGGAGCAAAATATGAGAGAGAGAGAGAGAGGGGAAAAAACAGGAGTTTGACCCTAAAGGAGAAATGCTCTTAGCAGTTTTATTTAAGAAAGCTCTCTGAATGCATATTCTGTCTTAGCAGGCCCAAGAGTTTATAGGGTATTTATTTTTAACTTGGTGCAAGAGGGGGAAGCCTGAGTGAATATGTCAGACTTGCAGATGCTACTTTGCATAAAATTTGCATGATGTTGTTGGATCTGAACGTTTAAAGCAAAAGAGAGTGAATGAGCAATTGAGCAGGCAGCAATTGGAAGAGCGGGGCTTGTGCCAAAATGCCCAGTGGATCTGCTAGTTGGTAGAGACACTCAGACACAGCAATAACGGGGGCAGCATATTGACTCCAGCAAATAGAGGGAATTGGCACAGCTAACCAAACCACGTAGGATATTGTCATCTTGACTGTGTGGTTGCCAGTTCTTTTATAATTGCTGTCTTGGGAAACTTGGATAGACAGGAGAGAGCTGTCGCTGCACACGAATTCCAGGCAGGGGAAGCGCTTTCTTCACGTTGGGCTCCAGATGGGTCACTTTCAAGCACTCATCATCTCACCCCAGGAGAAGTTTGCTCTGAGAGCCTCAAAGAGGGCAGGCTAAAACAGAGAGAGGCACATTTCCAGCCAGAAATTCGGCAAGTATCCTAGCAGAAATCCATGCATGACGCCTTAGTCCTGCTCCTCCAGGGTTTACCGATCCAGGTTACACGATTCTGAATTAGGATTGTTTTCTAAAACTGATTATTTTGTCCGATCTGTAGCGTCTGCCTGACACAATCTGCTTTATACTAGTGATTATTTGCATGTTACTTTAGCAAATTCAGAATGACAGCTCTTTTGCATGAAACTCACGTGCCCTGATATGTACAACAGTGCACATGGCTTTTTCAGTTTGGGGGGATTTATTGCTGTTTTCAAAGATAAAATAAAGCTGAGCTGTAACCCGATGTGGTTCCCCTTCTGATCAGAGCTGCAGAGAGCTGCACTGATTTGAGGGGAATCCCAAGCTGGTGAGCTGTGACCGAGGGGAACCTTGCAGCAGGCTTGTTTGCAGCCAGAGAGCTGGAGGACTGGAGACAGCATTGAAAGCCAGCCTCTGCCGTGTGACGCTGATGACAATCTGAAGACATCCTGTTGCTTTGGTGGGATTATTCCACTTTTCATACTAACCCAGCCGGGAGCAGAATGTTGCTCGTTGACTGTGAAGATACTTTGTGGTTGACTATTGTTTCACATGCAGTGGTCAATTTGTTCTGAACTTTCCAAAACCTTGGAAGAAAACCCGTGAACTCCCAAGTCTTCCCCTGGAACGGGCTATTTTAACAACGGCTAGACTGGAGGGCAAAGGCTCACGCTCTTTAAAATATTGCTGAGAAATCAGCTGGCTCAGAGAACACTAACAGCAGCCAGAAAAATCTAATGAGATTAGAAGTGTCTGTGCAAGCACATGTGGCTTGTTAAAAACATTTCTTCATGAGATTGGAGTTATTTGTGATTTTTTTTTTTCCTTGTAAATTAAGGCAATTATTTATTTATTTATTTTAATTGACTCAGTCCTTTCCATCTGTCTTTCTGGTTTTGTTTTCACTCAGCACTCTGGTCAAGAAGGCTCCGCCTGCTTAGAAAAGTATTATTAGCAATGCTCTGCAAATTCGTTTCTGGTGAAATGTCTTCTGTATGATTAATGGTCACTGGGATTTCTTGCTTTCAGTATGCTTTGGCTAGGAGCATGCCGATCAACAGAATCTACATTTTTTTCAGTTGTCTTTTTCCAGGTTTCTACTTCAATTAGTGCCTTTGCTTAGTCACAGTTGCAGTGAATCTTTGAATGAAGACGCAGAGGCAGATGCAGATTCTTGCTCGGTGCTTATTATATTTAGCTCCTTAAAGAAGATTGTCCAAACATGCAGCAGGTCTCAGGCAGGGTTGCTGAACCAGTTCAGGGTCTGTCATGATTTCTTCCGTCTCTGTGAATCTTCACCAATTTGCTGAATCCCGAGGTTCTGAAATGGTCTAATATGTCTTACTTTAGTTTTGCTAGAAGAGGGCCAAAACACAGTTGATCTCAGCGCCTTCAAATTGCATCTGTTTTTAAAAAATCATGTTTGAAAATGGTTGGGCTTATACCAAAAAGAAAATGAGCTTTCTGTAAGATGATTTGCATGTTCTTAAAATCTTTTTAGGATTTCCTTATAAAACCTGAAAATCCCCAAGGTACCTTCCTTTTAATTAATAATAAAAAAAATCCTTAAATATCTTCATTTTCCTAATACCACCAAAAATCTAGATATAATGTCTTGATGGATATGAGAAAGAATAAGAGGAAAATTAAACAGTTTTCAGCTACTGTGCCTGTTCTGTGTGAATTCATGTCTCACTGCATCCTAACTTTGCATCTTGCTCATAGCTCTATTATAGGCTGATCCAAGATTATGGACAGGTTCAGGCATTCCCTGACCTTTGTTTGGGTTTGAAATCCAAGCTCATGTTTTCAGATCTGTAACTTTCACTCACCTTTGTGCTTTTTGGCTTTAGCCATAGTCAGAAGCAGGAAATACTGGAAATCCTACATAGAAAAGTGTTTTGCTAAGATTTTTGAGCTCAGTTCTCAAGACTCAGGATCCATCACCAGTGAGATTTTAAAGGGCTCCAGACTCCTTTAGGCAGGGTATTTCTGGTGACCTTCCATTGTATTTAGAATTATAAGTAATAAATATTAATCATACAGGATTGTATATCTACATTGGCAAGGCAGCGTTTCTGAAAAGAATCTAAGTGACAAGACAGACATTGCAGATTTACAATAACTTTGTTCATAAATTTTTTGCAAGATGTAAAGAAAGACATAGTGCAGAGAGGGAAGAAGCCAACAATGTGGATTTAATCATCTACATTTCAGAAATGCAGACCAAATGTCTGTAAAGATGTCCATTTCATCCAAACATTTCTTAGATATTTATTTCAAAGCTCCCTGTTCAGTCAATCCAACACTCCATTCATATTGGAACTAATATTGATTTTTCTTCTATTAGCAGTGGTATGGGAGTGTTAGAGGATCCCGTATATTAGTTAGTCGTATTTTCGGTTAGACTATTTGGATTGCCAAGAGGTCATCTTGCTGTGCAGGTAAGATTAAAGAATTATCTGTGTCAATCTATTTAAACGATGGCTTCTGACAAACGTTTTTTCCAATAGAATCATATAATGATATCGCTTTATCAGGACTCGTGTGGAATATAGAGGCACAGGTTACAAGCTCTTCTCCTAGGTTCGCGTCAGCTGAAAAGCCACTGCTAGGGAGGAATGACAGCCTATATCACAAAGAAGCTAGACATCTTTTCTTTCCTACAAGAAAGCTCAGCTGAATTGCACGTAGCATTTATTTTGAATATGCGTTTATTGTATTTTAACCCCTAGCCACCTTTCCTCCTCTCTTGTCCCTGCTCAAAGTCAACTCCAAGTTGGCCATAACCATTCTGCCATTTCCTCAGTGCGAAGTAGCAGGGTGCTCATGGATGGGCGCACGGGGAAGCGTGTTGTAGCGTAACCCGTCCGTCTTGTGGGATGAAGCAAAGACAGCCCCCTTTCTGCATTGACTGAGTTTCGCTAATTAGCTGAGTTTAAGGTATTGCAAAAATTTAGGCAGTGGAAATCCCACTTATATAAAGCCCCAGAAACACATGGAAACATTCACTTTTAAAAACGAATCGGTGTTTTAAAGAAAAAAAATAACCCCGAAGTTTTGTGTCCTCCTTTATGTGTATTCTTTTAACCATCGGGAAGTTTGCATTTGTTTATTATTCTGCTAGATATATTCATTATTCTTGAATTGCTTTTGATATTAAGAAATATTTTTTCAGTAAGATTTTGCCTTTCTGCTGAATCTTTCATCTCTTCATTAATTTTGATGTCTGCAATGACCTAGTAATTCCAGAGGAGGCAGGGAAGCTGTGAGGCTTATACTTGTTGAGAAGTTGAAGGAGGTAATGATTTTTTTGGAGAAAACAGTATTAAAAGCATTTTTTAAAAATGTGTCTTTTCATCTGGGATACTTTAACCAAGAGTGATAGACTGCTTAGTCTGGACTGTGATTTTCAGCACAGATCTGAGCAAGCCACCATGTTTAAGGCGGCTTTGCCTAGGGATTTCCCCAGGGTACATAGAGATGTTCCCTCTGAGTCACAAAATTTCCCATTTCCTTGGTCAGGAGGGATCTGCTGGTTTGTATTGGCACTGAACTATGACAGCCCACTAACAGTTCTAGGCAGTGAAAATAGGGGTCCTGTCCCCTTCTCTTCCCTTCTAGCTCACGTGCAGGGAAAGCAGAAAGCATTAATCTGTTTTACTTCCTTGCCCCACATCCCAAGCAACACTCCAGCCCTAGGAAAGCAGAGGAACCCCATCCAACGCTGGTTTTCAAAGCTTGATCAGTTTGTGTTTTAATGTTTGACCTAAAGGTCTGAAGAGCCCCATGTAACTCCTCAGGCACTCACCATGCAGCGTTACAGGACTCAGCAGCATCTCAGAGACCGCAGCAATCATGTTATTCCCCTGTTGTCCCAAATCGTTCCCCTTTCACCATTTATTGGAGAGATGCTGAAGCTGAAAGTACTCCAGAGGATGCACTTGAATGTGATGTGTTTTGAGCTGTGCTCACCAGCTAACCAGCTCTGAACGATGACATTGTCCCAGCTCAGCAGGTCATGCCTCTGCTGCCAAACGGACGACCCATCGCCCGTTGGAGTAGCAGCGCTCGGGTGGGAAACGCCGAAGCTGCTCAGCCAGTGATGGTGCGACCACGATGAAAGGCTTCAGTGCCACCTTTTCTCCAGCCCGGCTCCCTAGCTGAAGTGTGTTAGCAGCTCAGCTGGGGCCATAATCCAGTGCTAATAAGCATTTCTAGCTTGCAGCATGTGAATAGGGACTACTCATGTGTTTAATATTAAACATGTGCTTGCCTGCTTGCCTGGATAGGGGCCTAAAAGTCATGACAGAAAAGCCTATATTAATGAACAGCATTATTATTCTCTTTTCTTTGAAATCCGGTGGCAGAATTCCCAGTGAGGGAATTCCCAATAGGAATTCCCAGTAGAGCCCAAGGCTGCATAAGCACGAAGATGTTTGAAGTGTGAAGATGTCCTCGGAGAACAGAAAACACTCAAGGAGAAAAGGAAGCAGTGGTGACATATAGGGTCTTATTACAGAAGAAGGACACCAGCTCTGTCCCGGTGGTGACTGGAGGGACACCACCGGTGCTGTCAGGCTTCGTTCTGGTTTATCATGGGGAGGCTGAGAGCGGAGCTGGGATCAGGCCACGCTGGCGGTGTAATGCCAAGGCATGTTCTGCTGTATCTCCAACCACACTCCCTATGGTGGTATCCCACAGCGTAACGATGCCTCCATTGTGTCTGCCTCACTCTTGTTATGAAGTGGCTTGTCTAAAGAAAACTAAGAAGGGTGGGGGAATATTTTATATATAAATGGAGTAAAAACAATCCAAATATGCTTTAATGGTTCTCAACATGATACTGTCAATTCTCACCACAGGGTGGAATTTGTTGGTGGAAATTAAATTAAATTAAATTAAAACAGAAAAACTTGGCTGTTGCTAATGGGTACTACTGGGAGCCCTAAAAGCAGTTTGCAGTGTAGAACCATAAGCAGGAGTGAACATCCTTTAATTCCCGGAATCACTGGGTTTCACAAGGGTCATTTCAGCCTATTCTGTTACACTGCTGAGAAGTTGCTCTTTCCCTGTCTCCCTAGGTCTATAATTCCCGGAATCACTTGGGTTTTACAGGGTCATTTCAGCCTATTCTGTTACACTGCTGAGAAGTTGCTCTTTCCCTGTCTCCCTAGGTCTATAAACTCTGAAGAATTTGGGAAATGGCTACAGGCACCACATTAATCTTTTTCTTTTTCACTTTTATTTTTCCCCCTTCATTAAATTAACTGCTTTAGTTTGGAAGTAAGCAACAAGTAAATAGCATTTGCAAACAGCGGATTTCTCTACTTTTTCATTAAGGAAGTTTTTAAGAGTTTTCAGGAAATCAGAGGTTATCCCCAGCTTTGGGAATAAACTGTGGTATAAAATATATATAGAAGTGTGATTCTGATTAAATAATTTAAGCAGAAAGATTACAGTTTGTTTTAAGGAGCATTCTTAGGACTAAACGAACAGAATAATCCAGATATTGCAATAGGGAGTTAAGATTCAGTTCCAATTTCCGTTTTTTTTTTTTTTCAATTACTGATTGTACAACATAGAAACTATACATATATATCCACTTTATTTAACTGCGTTATTTAATTCAATAATGCTATAAAGTTTGTTGGGATGGAAGGTGGCATAAAAAGGAAAACTTACACTCTTGAAACAGCGCTATTATTACCGTGTCTCTGATTTTGTTCCCACTGGAATAAACAAGAGCCGCACCATTTAGTTGTGTAGAAGCAGGATCGCGACTTCACCGATCCAGACAGGTTGGCAGTCTCTGCGGAGGACAGGGTAATTTGCTGTTTAGCAATCTGAGTCTTGCAGTGGGCACAGTGCATTTCGGAAGGTGGCCAGGACCGTCCTTGGGTGAACGGATAGCGTTGCTTGCAAAGGACCACAGTGACTCCCCTGCTGTTATGAAATGAGATTAAGCCATCATGAGATGTGGACTGGCTAACCCTGAACCAGACACTTTTGCCTGCAGCGCAGCCGCTAAATTGGTCTGACATCAGGAACCGCAGCGTAAGAGCTTGGCCTCAGAAGTGAGTCAAAGCAGCATCTTTGTCACCAGTCATTTTCTATTTATAATGACACAGATCTATTTTATAATCACGGGGAGGCACAACAGGAGTGTGCTTTGTTCTGCCTAAATCGCATTTCTCGTGTGGGTGCATTTAAACACAGCCTTTGGCCCCTTGCCGCACACCACACACACCCAAGGCGGGCGATTCTGGCACAACAATGCACGCCCTGTTGTGCTTGAATGCTCAAAGAATTCTGTGCTGAAGCAATAAACTCCTGCTAAATGGCTTGAAAATGTTCCCTTAAGTGTGCTGAGCCGCCACGCTGCCTCACTTCTCATTTCCAATGGCATTTTGTGTCTAAGCCTTGGGTTTCAAATAAACCAGGAGTATATCGCGTTGTTTAGTGCTGGAAATTACTGGGCATTATTAACCATAAGAAACCGGGGTGAAATACCCCAAATTCCAACTCAACCCTCTTTCCTAGTGCAAAACTGACTGCTTGTGCACGTGGCTGTGTTTTCAGAGGCTGTGAATCAATTCCCAATAGCTGCTTGGTTTGGTTTCTGGAGAACAGGTACTCCCCCGCTTTTTTTTTTCTCCTTTCCTTTTTTTTTTTTAAATTAAGGGTCCTGCTCTGTATTACCTAGAAGTTTATGATCTAGCGATAGATAGATTTATTTTTGTAGTCAGACTGTTTCCAATTCTAAAGCCTGAAGATCAAAACCAAGTTGCATAGTGAGATTTGGGGGTGAATGGAAATGCTTTTTTCTCTCAAAAAACACTCATTTTCAAATCCTGACTCATTTGGGGGCACAATCCTGGTTACTTAGAGGGGGGTCTGAGGTTGAAAGAGAGGAAGGGGAGCCCGCTGTACATGCTACTGTCCTTCCACTAAGAGGATAGCAGGAACCAGTCTGGAAGTCCTAAGAAGTATATGGACATGTTTTCCATCTTCAGTGTGAAAGCAACCTGTACAGAGACCTGAATGGCCCTAAACTGACCCACAGTTGCTTGAAAATTGCAATGACATAAAAAAGCAAAATTTGGGATATGAACAATGACACGACGATCAGGCATGGCACCTCTTCGGGGCGTTATATAGGCAAAAAATATCTCATTTGAAAGGACACTCAAATTTTTAGGTGCTGGCCCAGACCCAAGTCCAGGGCTGGATTTTCTCCACCAAAATATCATTAATCTCAGAAACACCTGCTGGCTGTTGGGATTGTCACCACCTGATCTGCTGGGGTAAAAGCAAAATCGGTAACTCTTAAGGAGAAAGCAGGAATGATCTTTAAGCTCGGACCTGGTAAGCTTCAAAAAAAAGTAATTTATTTGTGAACAACTATTTTATAGTGGTTGGCAGTGAAAAGTAACTGTGCATCTAGGGGTCTCGGTCAGATAAGAAAGACAGACAGGATAAATCCCTTCGCATACTTGTGATTTTCAGTTGAGGCACATCCTCTATTAATGGGTAATTTTAGATTAGACTGTAACCTTTTGGGGTAGGAACTGTATATTTCTTCTCTGTATGTGCAGCTCCTAACACGACAGGAGCCTGATTAGAGCCTTTGTGTGCTGCTCTAACCCCCTTAATATATAATAATAGGAATAATATAATTAAAATGTCATTGCAGTTCACCTTTAATATCATGATTGTGCGGCTGTACTCTGTCAACTGTGAATAAAATTAATGTCCTTTTTGTATAATAGGTAGTATATTTTAATATTGAAGAAAGAGTTAAATTTAGTTTTTGAAAGCAAAAAAGTATCTGCTCATTGTTTCATTTTAAGCTTTTGGATAAATAAGCAAATCTTTCTTTTGTATCCTTCAAATGAGTGTGTGTTAAATGAAGAATTCCACCTTCCTGAATTGGAGCTGTTTATAATCTTATATTCCAAGAGTGATTAACACCTGATAATTTGAATAAAAGTGGTTTATTTTCTCATTGGGTTATTCTTGAACTTTTGATTAATTTGTTTTTTAACAGGCAACGTGCCCTTGGCTGCAAGAAAAAACGTGCGCTCACAGCTTGAATACAGCTATACTCATCACTGTACCTAAAAATCGATTTAATAGAAACAAAGGGAAAGACAGCAAGGACAAGTAAGCTACATCTGTGCTAGAAGAAGAAACACGGCCAGGGTACAACTCACGCACTGTCCTACAGATGTCGGTGCCGTACAGTTAGTGCAGGTGGTGGTACCGTGTTGGCCTGGACCAGAGAGCACTCTCCAAGGCAGTGTCCAAGCACAAGCACACTGGATATGAGAACTGGTGGGGTTATAATACAGATCTGTAAAATAATGGATGGGGTGAAGTGAGGAATGATTATTCAGTATTTCTCATATCACAGGTTACGTGTTCCTCATGAAATAATCAAGCAGCAAGTTTAACGCAAACAGAAAGAAGTGCCTTTTTACACAGTGTATAATTAAACTTTGGAGCCCTTTACCGGAGGATGCTGTGCAGATCAAAATGGATGTGGGGTTCAAATATGGATATGATAACTTAATGAAGAACAGATCCATTAAAGTTGCTAAACATGAAAGTTTGGATGCAATTTCCAGGTCAAGAAGTCCCTAAATACCAGAGCTGGGAGAGGGTCCAGAGAGAAGTAGGTTTCCACTTGCCTTATTTCTTATATTGCTTCTGCTGCAAGAGATTAGACACAGCTGAGGTAGGGCTGGGTGGCTTGGCTCCAGGATGGCCTTTCTGATATTATGATACACAAATGTGAAGTATTGTAAATTTTATTGCAGCACAGAGCTTTGAATTTACCTTCCCCAAAGCAAACCACTTCCAGAGAGGCATTAGAGACAGAGGCTCGGAGTCCCTCTCACAGCAAATGACAGGGAATCACCATCCATCTGAAATAACAAGAGTTCGTCATCCAAGAGCTGCAACTGGAGAGGAACAAATAGGATTCCTCCCGGTTTATGTTTCAACTTGCTGGTCACCAAAGACCCTTTGGGCCACATCTCTCTAGTACCACATCTCTCTTGATGTGATGTGTGATAGAAAAATGAGAATTTGTTTCAAAGTCTTCAAACTCAAGCTGGTAAGTGTCAGCCTAATGTTTCTGCTTTAACTAGTGCTGAAATAGCTATTCGGTTGTGCAGAACTGTAGAAGTCCAGGGCCTCGGCTCATTGCTTTTGGACTAAGCCTTCAACGTGTGAGCACGGCCTCGGCTCATTGCTTTTGGACTAAGCCCTCAACGCCTCAACCTATGAGGTGCACCTTCATAGCAGACGTGGTCTTTCCCTTCTCTCTGATCATGGCAGCATGGAGGAAAACCAGGACACCTGCAAAACTCACCATCAGGCATATCAGAGACTGAATAAATAAGGTAGTACAATCCCTTTTTCGCCTAATTTGTAACCAGTCCTGAATGGAAGTAGAGCTTTGCTGTTCGGTCACTCAACTGCGCGAGGGTTGACCATGGCCTGCACTGCTGTGGGTGATGGGTAACACTGCCATGCATTTTCTCATAGAAACCCACTCCTTGCACAGCTCCATCACGTCTCTGCATTGCCAGAACCACACGCATGAGACTACGCTATCCAGGTGAGCATCCCCGAGAGTGGCCGGTACTGAATGCTTCAAAGGGTGGTGCCAGGAGCCCCAGCAGTTGGGGTTTATACTGACCAGACATAAAGCATGTTCCACACTGGTGGTGGTTTTTCAGTGTTTATTTCATTAAAAATAGTTACCTATAGCTCTGGCTCCTCTCATTGTACAAACAAACCCGATACTGGTCTCAGGCTCTCCAGACACAGGTCCAGGTGATATTTTACGGTAGGGAGTGCATCAGATCCATTAGGCACTGTGCAAAATAAGAGGTTTCTGTGCATGAGTGATTGTGATTGCAGACCTGAATGATGAAAAATGGGGTGAGTAACAACCTGGATCGCTCATCATTTTTCCTGTCTTTATTTTATCATTCCTTATGCATCTGTTCTGAACAAGCCAAAGTTTTCCCCTTTCCACAGCCGTGTCTCTACGCTGCTGGTCATTTTTTTGGTCATTCGGTCTCTGAAGGATCGCTTCTACCCAGCTAATAGCTCTATCTGACGGGGATTTGTACCACTGTCTCTCCCTGCTTGTCACATGAAAAATAGAGCCCTTAGTGGGCTCCACGGAGCTGCTGGCACCTCTTCCTTCAGGGATGGGTTGGGGGGGGAGCTTTGTCAAGGAGGGTTTAGTTTGGTTTTTCTTTTTTATCTCAATACCTGCTGTAACACTCTACACATCCTGCTAGACACACTGCAATCAGTCCAGTCTGCGGCAGGCAGGAGTTTAGACATTTCAGGTGTCATCCATCCTTCATATCTCGTGCATGCCTTTCCTTTCATGAGCCCAGCAGATGCCTTTAATTGCCAGCCACTGCTCTTGGCTTTCCAAGCAGTAGCAGAGGAACTATGGAGTCCCTCTGGCGAAGGATGAAACAAAGGGGCCCAGCAGTGTTATGACATTTTCTTGCACTGAATTGGCTTTGGGAAGAATGGGCTCTTTCCTCCCGTTAGATAAGCACAGAAATCTTAAGCAGATGCTTGCAAAACATCAAACAAATATATACTTAAAAAAAATAAATATAGGCTATACCCACATGCCCCGTAATCTGGCCAATATTCAGCCACCGCTAACAGTATCTAGCCTTTCTCTGGTGAAGCCTGGAGGAAAAGGAAAAACCCACAGTCTAGTCACTCCGCAGCAGGACTGCAACTGGCTCCTCCAGCACCATCATCCCAGGGCTGGACATGGCAATGCCGGGAGCTGGTGGCCAGTCTCCAATCCGCCCTGGTGTTCAGCAGCTAGAGGGAAACACAGCCCTTCTCTCCCGTGTGTTGTGTGTACACTCCAGGGGCTTTAATCTGTTTAAATTTCTCTTTAAATCAGCATTGCGAAGGGGAATTTCATGCTGTAGGGAAGAAGGTGCAGCAGTATGGAAAGCCGAAATTGCCAAAAACAAAAAGAAAGGGTGTTTTCTTTAGTGTTTAAGTAACCCTTATGCTCCTGATTTCGAGGGCAGAGATAATAGGGGGGATTTCTTCTAGTTTCCTTGCATAGGAAAGCCATGGGTTTTGGGAAAAGCTGGATGGAAGTATATTAATTAGGGAGTGTGAGAAAGTATTTATTGCAAGAAGTCCCCCTTCCCTCAACCTTTTGTTAAAACAACATTAAAGACGATTACCGGTGCCAAGAGAAGGACTTTTAAAAACCTGCTGGAGTTCAGGTCACCCATGTAATCCTCATTCACCCGCTTGTGCGGATGGGTTGTGGTACCAGCTTTCATTTGCTCATGTACCACATCCTGCGCAGGTCCTGCCCTGTTCGGTGCCCTAAGCGGGTGATGCAATTTGTTTTCTTGGCCATGTGTGGTGCTGAGCCTTCTTTATTCCTTATTACTCAGCCTGTTAGGAAGCTCTTTAAAATAGTCATGGTATCATGTGCTTTCTACAGCAGCGTTGTCTGTAACTCCTTCACAAACATTCATTAGATCACTTCATGTATCCCTAAGGGGGAAAGGATGATGTTTCACAGCATGGGAACCAAGACTGAGAACTTCAGATACGAGTATTCTCTTCACTTCAGATGTTCCGTTTCACCTATTTAAAACACGATTTTTCGCAGTACGATGCATTGCACAGCAATTTCAGGGTACTGCCGTACCAATAAATTCAATGTGCTGGGAAAACTCCCAATCTCTGGGACAAACTGGCACAAAATGGCTCTTGTCCAAACTGGTTTTACCCTCCTAAACTGGATGGCTGCCTGCAAACTGCTTATTAGAAACAGGCCCTGGACAAATGGCCCTCCCCCAACCAGTGCTGGGGACAGATTAGTTTGGGAGGGTGCTAAGTGGCCTGAGCCAAGAGGGATCTCACAGTCTAGATATACATACATATATATATATGGTGTATATATACATATATACACTAAGTAGTAAAGGCAGGTATTTGGGTTACGTTCCTACTGCATTCAAGTGCCGCTGGGAGTGCTCAGAGCTCCTGCACCTCAGCTGTTGCCACCTCAGGTCTCAGTACCACCATAAAAAAGCAGCAAATTTGGCTCAGATGAACAGTATTTGGTCTTTCCTAAGTTTGGAGTGTTTGACTTTGCAAGTATAGTAATGTTTTAGCGTAGTTTTTCTTTGTATAATGTTTTGTGTGTGTGCCCATATGTATGCATACACACATACATACATCTATTTATACATGTGTGCGTATACATCTATGGTGGCATCCTTCCCTCAGAGCAGCATTTCAATTCTGGGTATCTGTAATGATCACAGAAGATGTGCGCACTTGATTTTTGAGCCGCCACAGAGAACCGGCTGGCTTTTGCACCGGGTCTCCGCTGAAGCCTGAGCCTTAGGGAGGTTATCTATCACTCCGCAGCGAGAGTCGTGCTGCCATGCCCGTTCGGCTGGGAAGATTCACTACCCCTTGCCATGGGGCACGATTCCCCAGGGAGAGCCCCGCAGCTGTCAGAGCCGGTTGGATGCTTTGCTCTGTATCCAGCCAGAGTAGCACTCATATTTATGGTGTATGGGCTTAAATCTTTATTCGTAAAGCAGCAGCTTTAGCTTTTCATTGTCAACGTGGATGTTGAACTAATCAGAAAGGGGAGCAGGGGAAGGGTGGGGACCGGAAAAGAGGAGTTTGTGGGAACATAACAATGTTAAAGAAAAAACTCTGCTTGCTGTCAGTTAAGTCTCTCCATTAGTTACTTCTACCATTATGGATTCATTTTAAGATCCAGACTTCAATATACATAACTTTAAATCACTAACATCCTTCATGGCTCTGTGATTTGCTGGTTCCATATGTAGCCTCTTGGCCCATTGTGTTGGCACAGGTTCAATTCTTGTTCTTCCTTTGGGTTACAGTTTCCTTGCTTTGATGGGGGGGATCGGGAGGGGAAGAAGAGGGAAAGAGCAAGAAAGGGA